CCAGAAGCAAGAAAAACTTCGGTAAAAGATAAAGGGTTTCCCACTAAATGGGAGAAACACATACTATCACTCATGTTTGACATTTGAGTTCTGCTGGTCAATGCTTGGCATCCCAGGGCAAGGGGGGTAACGTTCAGCTTTGAAGGCAACTGTCCTTTCCAGGAAGGGAAAACCAAGATCCTAGGTCTAGACAATGCCAGAGGAAAATGAGGCTTCCCCAGAAAAATGACTGATATATTTTCAAGATGCATCTATACAAACATGTGGATATATGTATTTCCATGTCTTCAGGCTCCTAAGTGCTAGCTGTGATCTTAAGTTGTATCATCTCTGTACTCCTGGAAATTGGCTTTTAAATAAACAAATGAAGGGCTGGTTTGATTTCTCTGAGTCCTAAATGCCTTGTTTGTAATGGAGTCTCTTGAAAACAGCCCAAAGTCTCTCAGCTTCTGCCTCTTGCCTCCTGAAAGAAGCATGCCAGCGTTTCATACCTATCTCTCCAAGCTGAGACTTCAGTGAGAAATTAAGATTGTCAAGAACACTCAGGGAGGAGATATTACTGAAAACACACATTGTGACAAGCCAGAACGACAAGCTGGAAGTATTCTTTCCATGTTAATGGTCTCCGATAGATTTTGCAATGTCTGGGAGAACTTTAACCACGTTTTACAATGCGGCCACACTCTGAAACATGCACTTGCTCCCAAGTTTACTTGAGTGTAGGGAGAAGAAAGAAATACTTGTGGTCATCTTTGACACTTCGTGGGAGTTTTCATGGAGCTCAATTGTGAAGAGAAGCATGCTATGACCCTCCCAGCTATTGCTCTATTGAAGCCCATGGGGATGACCACTTTCCTAGGGTAACCAAGCTACCGTTCAGATGGAGCCTTCTTAGCGTTTTTGTTTGCGTTCTTTCTTGAGTGGGACTTTGCCTGGTGTGTGTATGTGTATGCGTGTGTGTGACTTGAGCATTAATAGACAGAGTGCCAAAATCTTCCCACCTTTCCTTTGATGGCTAGAAACTGTGTGAGGGATATTGAATCCATATATTAGTTGGAGCATAGGATAGAGGTGATCAAAGCTCTGCTACAGTGTGTTCTCAAAGCAGAACTTCCTGAGGTCTAGGAAACACAGGGCAAGTGTGATCTTTCTGTTTGGCTGTAGGTCTCCAAAGCAAACGTTGTTGCAGTTCCTTTTCCAATATGTGCAGGAGTTAGCCAACGACAGGAATGACATTTGCTTCTAATCACTCACCCATTTTAATAATGCTGAAAAGATACGAGGCTGAGAACTGTACAATCACCAGTGGTTCATGACCCATGAAATCTTTGCCAAGTTGAAAGAGATCCTCAAATCTGGGACGAGTTACAGCTTTATGGTTTTGATCATGGTCTTCTTGGAAGATGCTTATTAGGGCCATTTGTTGACAACATTAAGAATTAACAAATTATGTTGTTAAAGCATAACAAAAGTTTAATGGGCTCATTAGGGGACTATAAAGTGTGTTACTTAAGAGAAAGATATTGTGGTGTTGGAAAGCACGAAATATTTACAAAAACACTCTTCAGAGTCTAATTTCTAGAACCGAGGCAAAGCTCAGCTATTGTGGTCAAAAGAATTACAATAAAGTAGTAACAAAGAGAAGCAAAATCCTTTTACACTGGGTGACAGTAAGCGCTTCCTCCCCCATACTGTGAATGTAAATATATTGAGCTAGCTTTTTTAAGCTAAAAATCTAACATAAAGGAGAGGCATTCCACTTTCTTTTTAATATAGAACAAGGGACTTTTTGTTTGTTTGTTTGATACCTGGTATGGGAAAAACAATGACTATGGGGAATGCTTACCCCCTCCAATGCTTATCCCAAGAGAGGAGAGACAAGTTGTCTGAAGTCCCTCTTTTCCAAGTGGAATTCTGCTTGTTGTAGTCTGCAGGAGTGCACCTATGGGACTCTGCAGACAGTGGAAATCAGTGCTGGCTGTATCATGCATGATGGGGTGAAGGGCTGGTCTACAATGTCAGCAGCCACTTTGTTAAAAAAAAGAAAGAAAGAAAAAGAAAGGAAAAGAGGACAGTTTGGGGGAGGAGCAGAGAGTAAGTTTTTGGTAATGAGAGAAATCACTTGCCAATTGGGAAATCTGCTCATCACGGTCGTAAAAGTGAACTGAGACAATTTCATGTAGTTCAGCTAAATTCAGGCCTAAGTGTGTTGGGTCTGAAATCTCTGCATTATTGTGGAAAGGATTCTGCCTCGGGAGCTACAGTCTTGAGGTTCTAGACCCAGGTCTAGAATGGAATACTTCAAGACAGCCCACAGGCCACCGTTTTCTTGAACCTAAAGTGAGTGTTCTCTCTTAGATTCAAAGATGTGCATTTATTTGCGAGTCTGTGAATTTGTTGTGTATGTTGAGTGTGGATATACATTCCCAGAGGTAGAAAAAAAAATGTAATTTGTGAAACTTCAAAGTGGCTGAGAGGGAACACAGTAAGTTGTAAAACTTACTGATTTTCACAGGTCAGCAAGTCTAATCCTGGAAAGTTTTGTTGAGCTTCTAGAAGAATCTTTGTTTGCCGGTGGGGAGCTTGGCTTTTTCATGGAGGGGATAGTGGAGAGAGGGTATTAAGAATCTGACTCAGTTCTAGACGTAGCCTGAGGCTCTTTATCCAGGAGCTGGGTTTTTTGGAGTGAACCATCCCACGATAGTGAAAATTCTCCCCTTCTCGCCTTACTCAGGCAGCAAAGGCTCCAGAACACTGGATGCTCTTGGCCTGCCATTGGTCAAGTTCATCACCAGCTGGAGCAGTGCAAGGGGTCTGATGACTGAATGGATTAACATGAAGGAGATATCACTGTCCAGGGATCTGGCCTCCACAGGCATCTGACTTGAGCCTTGACTGCGGAGCCAGAAAGACAGAGTGGGCATTGGTCCTTCCTCTCCACTGTACTACTCCGACCTTCACTGGCCTGGAATTTTCTGAGTAATTGGCAGTGAGCTCTTTGGGGTGACAGGGACGAGGAAGGTTATTTGAGGGTTCTTTGAAAACCTCAAGTGTCCCTTTACCAGCAGCCCTAGGTCTAGACAGGCTTGTCAGGCATCAAAAGACATTTCCTCAACCAAATCTGATGTCCACTCTTCACTCCTGCTCTCTGCTTGGCCAGGGTCTGCACCTGTGTCTTGCTAGCTGGCAAGTGCATGCGGGACAGAAGCCCAGCAGCAGAACCCCTGGCAATAGGAGGTTGGGGTGCGGTGTGGTGAAGGGTGGTTGTGGAAGGGGCAGACAGAGGACAGGAGGATGGGGAGGAGAGGCTGGGACACTGCTCTGTTCTTGGTCCTGCTCCTGAACCTCTAAGTCCTGCAATCTCCTCTAGGCTGGCAGCGAGTCCAGTTTTCCCAGTGCATAGTGCTGGTGGGAAGAGGCTGCCACTGGCAGGCTTAGGAGCTGCTGAGCTCAGACCTGGTCCTAGCAGCAAAGTGATCGAGCTTCAGCTCAGAAGGCCTGTGTGTCTGTCTTGCCAAGCTGAAGTATGGCCTGAAAGTGTCTGCGCCCTTCCCCAATCCCCAAACTGTTCTGTCAACCTGGTGGCCCAGCATCCAAAAACACACATATCTGGGGCCTTCGAAGTCTTTGGGCCCATGGCAGAGGATATGAACTGACAATGAATAGCCCAACTGAGACAGACAAGAAACTCCCTGGCCCAGGACTCTGACAATTCCCTTGAAAACCCTTCAGTCCCTAGGGACAAAGGTTTAGGAAGGACCATAGTGTGTTGACTCTCAGTTTATTAGGAGGGATGATTTCCTTCTGAGGGGAGGATAAACAGCTGTGATTCATAAAATGCCACCTTTTCCTCTCTTTTAAATTGGTTTTTGTATTCTTTGATATAAACATTGATTTCAGTAAATGGCAAAAGACATACCATTTAGGAAGAAAACAGGAGTGTCAGTGGACATATGAGCATCAGCTTTCGTAACACAGGTGCCCACTGCACAGGTAACATGCCTAACTGTAGAGAGGCCAGGCAGCTGTGCAAGCCAAACACACCGGCTCTCACAGCCAGGGAGGACTCTGGGAGTGAGCAGCCCTCAACACGTGATTCCCTCAGAGTAGAACCTGCCCTCCCTTTTCTCACTTGCTGCTCCGCTTCAGCTTTATTTTCCCACCTAATTATCAACTGTGTGAGCGCAAGTGTCTACCTTTTGCAACAATCCAACCCTGTTAGTATAGCTCTTACCATTACTGAGCAGTTAGAACACCAGTCAGTGAAGCTTGCTACTTTGTCATCTTTCTTCTGCCCCTGACCAAGAAGGGGCATCCTCCTCTCTTCACTTTGAAATATTAAGATCCCAGGTCATCTTTCTGTCAGGTTTAAGACAGGCTTTATTTCCCCAAGAATGGAAGGGCTGGCAAGAAGGCCCAAGTTTCTTCTCTGGGGATTTCTCACCACTTCAGAATTTTATGATGTGCAAAAAGGTTCTGGGGGACCTGCTGCCTTCAAACTCACCAAGAAACGGTGTCTACATTTACAAATAATATCTCAATTCAAGACAGGAGTGACCACGGAAACGTTCACACTCAAGTAAACGTTTTAGTTCACGAAAAACACCGGTATTCAAGTTGCCCTGAAAATTGCCTGAAGACATTTTTGGCGTGTCAATAACTTTTATGCCAAGATCAAGTTTCCAGCTTCAATCAACTGACTTAAGAAAATGCCCACCTGACTAAAAGTTGTTGGCATAGCTCAACGGACCTGCTTGAGGTTCTTACAGGGGAGAGAGACAGGCACATCTATGTATTGTCCTGCATGTCTTCGAGTCTAGGGAACCCTATTAATGGAAGACCCATCCTGAACATTGTAAAGAAACAACCTGAAAATGAAACCACAAATATTTTGACCCCAGTATAAAGTTTTTTTTTTTTTTTTTTTTTTTTGAGATTCCCTGAACCCACTTTAGGGGCTGGTGATTAAACTCTCTACCCCAATCTATAACCACAAAGTGTTTTGCAGATCAAATGTGAGTTTTATTTAAAAAAAACAAAAAAACAAGCAGTATGCCTGGGCTTCATAAAATTTATACACGAATATATACATAGACACAAATAATATTATAATAAAAATCACACTTGGTTTCACGTGGTGGTGGCCCTGGCACCCCACAAACATAATGTTAACTTCTCCTTTAAAGAAATTGCTTGGCCCAAGAAGACCACAGTTAGGTAACCACTAATAAAGCTGTAGCCGTTGCCTGCAACATTTCAATTCAGGTTTCAAAAATATATAAATAATTTAATTACAAAACCCAACAACATTTCCCCCTTTTTTTTGGCACAGTGAAGCATTGGTTGATAGCAGAGAAAATGACCGAAGACTGACAGCTCTCTCACACTCAGCCACGCCAGTGAACGCCACACACGCACACCCAGCGGGGTCTCAAAACCCCAAACAGTAGTCATCATTTATCCCATGGAGTGGTTCCCTGATGTACTTTTCTTTTCCTTTTTTTTTAATGGGTGGGGAAGACAAATCAGTGGAAGGTGCAACAAAAAAACAGTAGGAGCAGGAGGGAGAGGAAAGCCTCTATGCAGGAGAGTAACAGGCCTGGCCAAGAAATAGGAAAGAACGGCTTTGATCCTCTGTAAAGTTACAAAAGACAAAGGAAACTATTCTGGACTAAGTTAAAACACTTGGGTCAAAATGCTTAACTTTAAGGCACGTCTGATGGAGAGTAAAAAATAAAAATAAAATAAAAACTCTATTCCTCAGGAAAGTGGAAAGTGCACAGCCCTGGAGCCTGCATTTCAACCTTCTCAACCAACTCTATCTAACCCGGGCCCTCTGCGGAGCTCGAGGCTCCGCTTCAAGCTAGCAGCGTCTCCACGGGGTAGGACAGGTGCGGGCCGGGAGCGCAGGCCGAAGCCGCCTGCAGGGCCGCGGGCAGCCGCAGGGGGCAGTACAGGTGCGCCGCGCCGCCCGTCTCCGGCGCTCGGAACGGCTTGGCCGGGGCCGCCGGCGCGGAGAGGGGCGCCAGCAGCAGGGGCGCGGCGGCGGAGGGGCCCTCGGTCCCGCGCGACGCCAGCAGCGCGGGCTCGCCCGCTCCGTAGGCGCAGAGCGGCAGCAGGGCGCCGCCGGGAGCGGCGGGCAGGAGCGCGGGGTAGGCGCGCAGCGGCGGGCAGGGCGCCGCCCCCCAGGGCAGCGGCGGCCCCGGGGCCGCGTCGCCGTCGCGGCGGCGGCTGCGGAACGGCTTGCTGAGGATGCTGTCGATGGCGAAGGAGCTGGAGAACTTGCTCGCCGGGCTGGAGCGCTCCTCCTGGCGGGCGGGCGAGCGCGCGAGCGGGGAGGAGCGGCCGGAGGGCGGCGCGGGCTGCGGGGTCCCCGCGGGCCCCGGGGAGGCTTCCTCCAGCCGCAGCCCCGAGCCGGGGACCGCCGTCCGGTGGCTGAGGCGCTTGCGGCGGCGGCGGAAGACCCCGTCGGCGAAGGTGTACTCGCTGTTGGGGTTGAGCATCCAGTAGTTGTCCTTGCCCCAGGGCCGCGAGGGGTCGCGCAGCACCTTGACGAAGCAGTCGTTGAGCGAGAGGTTGTGGCGCACCGAGTTGCGCCAGCCCGTGTAGCTGCCGCGGAAGAACGGGAACTTGCCCATGAGGTACTCGTTGATCTCGGCCAGGGTCAGGCGCCCGCCCGCGGAGTCGCGGATCGCCATGGCGATGAGCGCAATGTAGGAGTACGGGGGCTTGGGGCGCCGCGTGTACGGCTTGCTGCGCGCGCCCTCGCCGCCGCCCGCGCACGACCCGGCCCCGGGGCCCTGCGCCCGGCTCTCGGCAGCCTCGGCGCCGTCCTGGGCGCCCGACCCGCCGCCGCTCGAGTTCCTCCCGCCTCCGCCACCTTCCGGATCCCCGGCGCCGCCGCCGCCGCCCGCCACCGGGCTGTTGGCCGCGCAGTCCCCGTCCGAACCTAAGGAGTCGTCGCCGGCCGCCGACAGCGGAGATGGCGCGTCGCTGCCGCCGGCCCCCTCCGGGTCGCTGCCCGTCTTGTCCCCGTGCGCCGCGCGCGGGGCGAACACCTCCAGTTTCATGCCGGGCGCTGCTGCTCCCCCGTCCGGCGCTTGTCCCCGTCTCCTGCGAGGTCGTAGGAAGCGAGTAGCGCGCGGTGGCGATCCCGCGGACCCGGGGGCCCCTTTTCTCCCGGGAGGGACCGCTCCTGCGACCTTCCGAGAGAGGCACTTGCCCTTAGAAAGCTTCTCTTCCGCTGGAAGGGTTTTTTTGGAGGGGTTATGAGTGTTGGGTGAACTGAGGGGTGGAGGAACAGGAGCCGGTGCAGCGCTGTCCTTACTCCGAGGTGTAGAGACTTTGGGAGGAAAGCGAGCGAGGGATAAGGAGCCACCCCGCGACGCGGGTGCCAGAGCGTGCCAGCCTTGGGATTTCGTGCTGGGAGGAAAGAACCTCCGTCCCCGGGCGTCCAGAAGTGTCCGTTCGCTGGGTGTCCTGGTCTCGGGCAGAAGTCTTCGGGGCACCGAGCTGACGTCCGATGGCGCACCCGCTACCCTCGAGAGCCCATGGGACCGAGTCCTCGAGGCCGCCGCGCCCGCAGCCGCCTTGCCACCCCCGGCCTCCCGGGCAGCATGTCCGCACTGGCCGGCCGCGGCAGAATCTCGCCTCCACCTTCAGTCCGGCCCCATATAACCCCGCGGCGGCTCCGTGGAGGCGGGGCCTGGGCGCCCACGGCCAGGGGGTGGGGGAAACGAGGTGACCAAGGTGGCCGCGGCTCCCCCGCGGCGCTCACCAGGCCCGGGCCACGCGGCGGCGCGGCCACAGCCTCTCTCCCCGGCGCAGGTTGTTTGTTTTGGGTCCGGCCGGCCCCGCCCTCCCGGCCTCGCCAATGGGGAGAGAGCGCGCGACTGGGGTGTGCACGCGAGTGTGTGTGCGCTGGTGCGGCGGCCCCGCCCGTCCTGCCGCGCAGGTAGCAGCTTCTGGCCTCCCGCGGCCGGGGAGTGGGTTTTTTGCTCCTTGGGATTCCCGGAGACGATTATTCTCCCGCGGCTGGTAGAGTTGGTACATTATGACACCCCAGAGAGACACCTAAGAGGGCCGGGCCGGGGGACCCAGGCTTTGCCTAGGTCAGGCTGCGGTCCTGAGCTGCGCGCTGCGGGGACAGTGGCGGTTCTTAGAAAAGGAAAACCCCTCTGGAGCCGACTGGATCGCCGAACTGCAAAAAAGTCGTGGAACAGCCTTTGCACTGACCTCTTTCCCGTACCCTTCCTCAGATTTCCTCTCTATGGCTAACTTTCCCCCCTTGCAACAAGTAAAAATCTTGAGCTTGGAATTGTATGTCTCTTTTCGGTTGTTGGAGCCTCTTGCTTCTTAGCCAGCCTCGGACTTTCGCTTTTATTTTGTCATACCTGCCTGGAGGCTCTGAGGAGGGAGGCAATTCGCTACACTTAGTGAGACATGGGGGGAAAGGTCGTTGCAAGAGGAGTGACAGGCTCTACCAGCACTTGAGTCCCTTCCGAAGCCTTGAGATTTGGGCAGAGCCTACAGCCATGCAGTTCCTGGGATTGGCAATCAACAAGATTCACGGGAGGATGTGTGCTCCTTGGAGTCTGAGCCAAGGGCAAGGCGTGTTTACCGCCATTTGTCCCCAGCCATCCTCTAGGACTTGCTTTGGCTTCGGTGCCACCGGTGTCAGACAGGAAAGGAGGCTCCCTTCTACTCCTCCGACTCCGACTCCGGCGCCAACTCGGTGTCAGTTCTCCAAGGAAAGGGGGTCTTGCACGGGGAAGGGTGCACTTCTGACCCTATGCCTACCACGCCAGCTTCCTCCTTCCTGCTTTTGTTGCAAATAGCATCCAGGCTAAGACTAGGTGGAAGCGCATCTTTGAAGTTTATTTTATTACTTTCCACCATTTGTGTGGAAAACATACACAAGCTTTTCTTATCTCCAGTCAGGGAGCTCTTAAAGGCGTTCCGAGCGCAGTGGGCACCATGACAGCCTGGGAGAAGCCTGGTATTTTATGTTATGGATTGCATTGCTGTTCACTGCACAGTGTGCTGCTAAAGCCCGGTGGGGAATGGCTCCAGCCACTTAGAGGGGCTCACCTTAGCTCTAGCCTGGGAATGGATGGTACCTAGGTCCTGGCCAGGGAAGTGAGTTGGGATGAGAAATTAGTTCGGCAAGGAGGCAAAGCATTGATTTGGCCAGGGATAAAAGACTTTCTTGACGAAGGTTTTCCTTGTTTGAACTGTGGGGGTAGGCAGGGCAGGACAGGAGAGCTCATGCCTGTTTGGAGGAGGAGATAAATTTAGGAGGGTTGAGACTCAGAAAGGCCAGAGGGAGATTCCAGGCCTGGATGGGGGTAGCCCACATCACCCCCCATCCTGTACTCCATTTTCTCCTCTTTTAACCCAGTGTCCACTCTGGCCTCTAGCTGCAGCAGATAGCCTCCTTACCTTGACCATGGCTAGGTCAAGAACTGCCCATTCCTCATTCCTATTAAGCTGACTGTTGGGTTCGGAGCTTGTGAAAGTTTGAGAGGATGAGAGGGGAATGGGGATGGAGAATTCTCTGCAGGGTAACCTTTTCTACTTTGTGAGTTTGATTTTGGAAAAGAAGACCTCCGGGAGGAAAATGGACAGGTCCGGCCATCTGGAAAGGGGAAAAGGAACCTGGGAACTAGGCTATAGATTCCCATATCACGGCTCTCTCTCCTGTGCCCCATCAATGCCATGTGCTGAGAAAAAGTGTGTCTTCAGCTAACATCAGAAATAAAGCTGTTGTGTACTGGTGCAGCCGATTTTGGTATTATTATTTCTAGTGGGTGTTTTGTAGCTGAGGAATCATTCCCTTCCTGGGGATGTTAAGAGAAAACAGCAAGGAGGAAAAATGTCTGTTCTTGGCATCTTTTTCCACACATCCTTGAAGTTGGGGTTTAAAAGTTTAAAAGAGCTGACACTGCCCCCTGCCCCCATCTCCATTTTTCCCACCTGTTTAAAAATGGATATTTTCACTCTCTAATTTGGGGGGGGGAGGTTATGATGTTGATAGATTAATAACAAGTGCCTGTAGATGATCCTGAGCAAATGGCTGAGTGTGAGAAAGACCTATTAGCTATTTTTCCCCCTACCCTTTAATTTTCATGAAGATAAAGGTGGCTGAGCGTGATAGAGGGAACACTCATGTCTCTGTGACCTTGTTTCCATCCTGAGGTGGTTTTAGGACAAGAAAAGTAGGCAGAATATGTAGACGCCAACACAAACTTACCAGTGGACACTGTTGCTTTCTTAATGGGGTAGTGTTTTCCCACCCACTTTCTAAACGTTAATCTAGAAAAGAAGTAATCCCTAAAACACCTAGGTGACTTAGTAGACTAGAATAGACCCCCATTGTTAATACCGGGAACTCATTCTCTGCATCAGAATAACGAACAGCCTTGGAGTATAAAGAAGAGCACAGAACCATCCAAATGTTTTCTCTCTTCTCCACCACTTTGAGGAATGCCTCCTAAAAATGCCACTTGCATTCTACAAGACCAACCACCTAGAAATTATTTCAGAAATGTCTCTGCTTTGATGGGTGGCCAAGAGGCTTCCTGCTTGTTGTAGTCCCTGGATATAAAACACGTGTAGCCCAGTGTTTTGGAAATGGCTGGGTTTCTTTCCTTATTAACCTTTAACAGTAGTCATATTGGGTCTGAAGAGAAGATAAACTTTAAACAGCCTTGTGGTGGAGAACTGGGACTCTGGATAAATTTGTAGTATAATGTGGTTAAGAATTCTCCCTTCGTAACTAGGGTCCGTAGCACATGCCTCTAATCCCAGCACTTGGGAGGCAGAGGCAGGGAGATCTCTGTGAGTTGGAGGCCAGTCTGGTCTACAAAGCAAGTCCAGGACAGCCAGGGTTACACAGAGAAACCCTGTCTTGAAAAACCAAAGAAAGAAGCTTCAGGCATTAAGAAAGAGCTAATGCAGAGAGTCCCAGGGTAAAATGAAAGGCTTTGCACTTTTGTTCAGTGCCTTTTAAGGGTTCAGAGAGAGCCTGGCTTGGGACTAGGAGTTAGGAAGCAGAAAAGGGGCTCTGTAGAGATAGAGCCTGTCCCTTTGTTCCCCTAGATTTAGTAAAAACACTGAAGAACAGCAGTACTTTGCTGTCTGTTCTAACCCACATTTTTCTAGTCTGAAGAGGGGGATGGTTTATTTAGTAGGCACCCAAGATTTTGAAAACAGTGAGCAGAGACTGATTTGCGTATGTCAGCAGTGGATAAGGCCCAGGTAATCTTACACACCCTCCTCCCCACTTCTTTCCAAAGGAATTTTAATAGGATCATGTGTTTGTTTTGTCTTGTTTGATCAGTCTCCTTTTGGTCCTCTGGCTGGGGGCATGGTTGAATCAAAGAATCCTGGGATCTGGCCAGGGTGACTGACCAGATTCGAACTTCAGTTTGTGCTTCATGTCCAGAGACTACAATCAGGAAGCAGGAAACCTCTTGGGGACCCATCGAGCCAGAAGAAGCACTGGACTAAGTGAACCCTATTTCTAGGCGGTGGGTCTTGTAAAAGGCAAGTGGCAGGGAGGCAGGCCTAAAATGGTTGAGAAGAGAACAAACAGCTAAGGAAAATTTGAGAAAAGATAAAAAAAAAATTTGATTATCTAGGTCAGGACAGAGGTTAGAGATGTTTGAGGAAGTGACCTGATTCTGTAACCCAGAGACAAAAATCCTAGTCACTGTAGCATAGTGTGGGAAGGTATTATCCAGGGATAAAAGAAAGCCTTGGGCTGCTTTGTTACAATAGGATGATAGCCTTGACCCTGGGGACACTGATCAGATCTGAGGAATTCTCATTGCGAAGTCTTAGTCCAGATCCCCAAGTTCTGATGTTCCTTACACTTCCAATTTTAAAAGCCCAACAAGGTATCTTTTGTGTATCTTTGCAATTTTAATTCTAGTCTTTAAAATTCTTAGACGTTGAGCTTGCTATTTCTAGAATAAGCTACAAAGCAGGCCTTTCCTGATGTTTATCATAAGAAGGGGCCAGGTTTTCCTATAGAGATAAGTGGCTTTCACCTTCAAGAAGAGTGCCATCACCTTGAGGTCATGGACTGTCAGGATGCTCAGTCAGTAAGACGTGAGTATTAGGACTCGAGTTTAAT